ACTCTTTGGATTCAAATGGACCAAGTATAAACTCAGGCTTTGTAAGCAAATTTAAAGGTGGAGGTAATTTTAATGTTATGGGCTTATTATCAGAATTTGGTTTACCATTTTTCAATGACATTTCAATTCCTGTTATCAATTGTAATATGGAATTATGTTTTACTAGAAATACAGATGATGATGCATTACTAAAAAAAGATGTAGTTACTGAAAATGGTAAAGAGGTAAGAAAAACTGTTACAGGAACAGAAGATGGTAAAATTATTATTGAAGAATTTTCAATTAAAATTCCAGTTGTACGGTACGCTGCTTTACAAAATGTTTTATTGGTAAATGAAATAACTACATTTTCTAAAGAAAAAAAGTATACTTTTAATTTTAAAACGTGGCAAATGATTGAGGAAAGAAATATAAAAGGAAAAACTATTAAAATTAATGTAACACATGAATATCGAGGTAGAAATGATCCTATGTTTTGTGGTTTTGGTTTTCAAACAAATAAATTAAATACTCAAGATCATGACCCTGGTGAATTTGATCATTGTTGTGTTAGAAGCTATAGTTTTGAATTAAATGGAATAAATTATCCTGCAGAACGTCAAGATGAAGATTTTAATAATAATAAGTTTTGTCAATTTTATGATGATTTGATGTCATATAAATTAACTTATCATAAAAATCAAGAACTTCCATTGATGTATAATGATCCAACTGATTTTAAGGATTATAGATCAATATTTCTAACTAAAACAGTTTATCAACCAGAAAATATACTTTTTAATAAAAAAAATATTATTTTACATATTGAATTACATGAAGATTTACCTAAAGATACAATTTGTTATATTTTTTTCATAAGAGAAGATGAATTTTTGTTTGATGTTGAAAAAGGTACTATTGAAGAAATATAAAATATAAAAATATAAAAATATAAAAATATAAAAATATAAAAAGTTGGAGTACTCCAACCTTTATCTCCTAGTGACTACTATTTTCAATAGAATATTTCTATTGAAAAATAATTTAATATTTATTCTTTAATTAAATCAAGATAAACAATAAAATCATCATTATCAAAAACATATTTTTTACCATTTTGATCTATAATATCTATTTTTATTTCTTGAAAATGTCCTTTAACAGGTATGTATATTATTGAATTAGTTTTTATATATGGATTATCATAATCATAATAAAAATTATACAAAACATCTTCCTCGATGTGATGACTATCCTTAACAGATGAAAAAGATTTTTCAATTATATTGCAATGTACTTCTAATAATCGTTTATTTATATTATTATTATTTAAGCCTTCTCCAATGTGTTTATATAAAAATACATTTTATCAATCCCTAAACTTGTTTTAAAATTTTGATCCATCAAAAAATCAGTTTTTGAAGTAAATGTAATACAATTATTATCATTTTGTAATTTAATACCTAAGGGTAATTTACTATTCAATTGATCAATTGAATAATTTCCCTTTATCATAGTTTTTATGTTATTACTTCGACTCGTTATAACACCATTAAAATTTTTAAAAAAACCTTGTGTATAAAAATGTATAGGATTCGTTAAATAATTATCGATATCAAAACTATGCAAGTTAGTATCAATATTTAATTTATTTTTTTCATCTATTGTAAGTATTATACCATCATTTCTATCAGTATTCAATATTGCTTCTAATTCAGCTAATGAATAAATACCAATAGGTATTTTATAAATGTTATTTGAATTTACATCATCATCATTATATATTTTAATTTGACATTCTTTCTCTATATTTATATATTGATCATTGGAAGTAGGAACATACATTGCTGATTTATTAATAGTTAATAAAAAATCAATTGTTATGTTTTGAAAACCTAAATAATTTTTTAAATTTTCATCTAAATTATAATAACAAGGAGATTTTATTTCAATTTTTTTATTAGCATAAGATAACACTAAAGGTTGAAATTGTTTGTTTAATTCATTAATACTATATTCTCCTTTTTTTATTTCTATAAATTTATCATTAATTTGTATTTTACAATCTGTTTCAATATTAAACCAATTTAACCCTTTAATAAATATTGAATCCAGACCTATTTTATAATTATTATTATTATAATATTTGTTTGATAAATAAATACAACCGTTTTTAACTTTTATAAATACCATTTATAAAAGTAATTATATATATTTATTATAATTATATAATTATATAATATTATTTTATTCAAATTGTATCAATTGCTTTGTGCTTCCGTTATCTAAATTTTGTAATCCATTATAAACAAGATTAAAATTTTTCGAACTTAGATTATATAATGAAATATTTTCTTTTGTAAACACATCTAAAAATCTATCTGGTAAAAATACTTGCAATTTTTTATCTAATATAACAACTATTGTCTTACCATAAATTGTATCAATATATTTGAAACGAGTAACCTCATATTTTTTTCCTTTTTCTAAGTCACATACTTTTACAAAATCATATTGATCGTTGCAATTATTTAAAAGTGTTTTGATATTTATTTCTAAATAACATAACAATGTTAATCTTTACGAACAGACAGACAGACAGACAAACAGACATACAGACAGACAGACAGACAGACAGACAGACAGACAGACAGACAGACAGACAGACAAACAGACAGACAGACATACAGACAGACATAATAATATTGAACGTCCATCTGTCTGTCCTTAAAATAGTTAATAAATTATCGATGTTCAAAAAAATATATTTACTAATATAAATAATAGAAATGGAAAATATCAAAACACTTTTAAATATGATTGAACAACAACGTAAAATCCTAAGACCTATATTTAATGATAGTGATATTGATATTAATATAACAACACTTTTAAATTTGTTTGAACAAGAACAAGGTATAGGGAAACTCCAAACATTTCGAATAATTGATGATGAATTACATGAAGTACACGATTCGAATAATAATAATAATAATAATAATAATAATAATAATATGCAGCTAGAATGATTATTTTTTAACATCCGGTATTGAATAGCTTATCTACTGACTACTATACAGCGTGAGTATATTATAGTATACAGTGTGATATAATTATACTAGCTTAATACTATTTAAATAGTGTTTGTTATACTATTATACATGCCTGAGTGTCGTGGCGCAGTGGGGAGATGTTAGGCTTTGTATGCATACAGTTGTAGGTTCGATACTGGCTGGGTGGGATTTTATTTGTGGTATTTTCAGCTCTACACACGACACGTGGCTTGTTCGATTATATGTTGAGTATAGTCGGATTTAAGACACTAGTGTTACCTGTGATATCATAGATAAGGTTCTCCTCACTGGTCCCTGGAGTCTACATATAACGTCTCCTCATTGTGTTGTGATACGATGAAGGCTACATATCTTAGTAGCCCCCCCTGTTGTACAGATGTCAACAAAAAAATAAAAAAATAAAAAAAAATAAAAAATAAAAAAACCGATGTCTGTACAATGGGGGCTACTTTTGCAAATTTTTTCTATTTTTTTTTTTCGATTTAAATTATTATTACACAGTCATATAATTTGACCTTGTTAAATATTACAAGTCCTATATTTCATTTAATATTTGATATTATCAAGTCGGAACAACACAGATATGTTTTATATACTTATCTACACTACATATTAAAAGTTTACCCCCCGCTTCATATTTTTCATTTAAGTATAACTCCGTTGCTTTTTATGTTAGAATCTTCATTTTTACATTAAACATTTTTGATTTTAATTCTTTATAAGTCCCCCTCATAGTATCATAGTGTAAAATCGTTTTTAAAGATTTTTGGATTTTAATAACGCGTGTCCGAATGGGACACGCGTTAAATATTGAACATTTTTTTAATAGAACAATTCTATTAAAAAATTAAATTAATAATATAATTATATTCTACGTATTGCCATACCAAAAGAACATATTTTAATATCTCCTAAATCATGAATAATATTAATATTATAGAGATATCTGAATAAATTTGTATTGTTTGCAATTATTTGATCATTAGCTATTTTACAAAGTTCTAACCAAGTTGGTGATCGTAGACATTTAGAAACATAAACATAAGTTGGATCACAATGGTTCTCGAGGATTAAAATTTTTCCTTTAATTGGAATTTCATTAAGATTATATTTTATTATATTTTCATTATTTTTATAATATTCAAAAGCACAAAATTTCACATAACATTTTTTTATTTTTTTATTTAATATATAGTTTTCTACTTCGTTTTGCATTTCGGTTTCTTGTAACTTATTATGATTGTTTATAGATTCCATTCTTTTATTATAAATATCAATTCCTTTAACTAAGGTATTCAATTTCTTTAAAAATATTTTTTAATACACTATATTGCATTTCGATTTTAATTATTAATATCATAAGTATTATGAAAAATATTTTGGGGGTGAAAATGTATTTAATAAGTTTTGCGAAAAATGTTTTTATTATTATTACATTTCGATTTTTATTTTTAATAATTAAGTTTTGCGGAAAATATTTTTATTATTATTGCATTTCGATTTTTATTTTTAATAATTAAGTTTTGTGGAAAATATTTTTATTATTATTGCATTTCGATTTTTATTTTTAATAATTAAGTTTTGCGAAAAATGTTTTTATTATTATTACATTTCGATTTTTATTTTTAATAATTAAGTTTTGCGAAAAATATTTTTATTATTATTGCTTTTCGATTTTTATTTTTAATAATTAAGTTTTGTGGAAAATATTTTTATTATTATTGCATTTCATAAGTTTTTGCGAAAAATTTTTTTAATTATTATTGCATTTCAATTTTCTGATCTTTTTGCACATTGTTTTCTTTGTGATCTTTTACTGATATATTATGAGGTGCGCCAGGACTGGTATATATATACTACTTATATTATTAATTTATTGTTATATTATACTATTTTACGTATTTTTGTTTTCAACGTGTTAAATCATTAATTTGCGAGTTCACAATTATGGCAGATAAAACTTTAAATAGTGTAAATAGTGACTACCGTCTTCCTTGGATTAAATATGAAAATATATTTAAAATTGTAAAATTAAAAGAAGATTTTGAATCATACCAAAAATATTTGGTTCGTTATAAATATTGTGTATCAACTAAATTATTAACAGCAGACACAAGGACATGTTCAAATCTGTTAAAACATTTAGAAGTAAGTACTTATTCCAACGATTAATACTTTGTATCTTTGTCCTAATATTATTATAATTATAATAAAAGTTTAAACAGATTATTTTCGGAGAATTGTATAATATATTAGGTATATAATACCTATTACCTAATACCTAAAAAATATAGAGAGGTTACCCAATTTATTTTAGATGCAACATAAAAATGTTTGGACTTCGAAAAATGACGAGACTGTCGAGACTCAAACCAAATTGAAGAGAACAAGTGATTATGTTACAGAAGAAACAAATGAGAGCTTAAATTTGGTGAAAGAAAAGAAATCAAAAGTTACTACTATATTAGATTTTTCTAGAAAAAATACTTTGACATCTCAAAGTAAGTCAAATTTTAGTTTTAAATTGTTGATTACAAAATATTTTACCCTTTGCCTGTAACTTAATATTTGCGGAAGTATACTACCGAGGTAGAGTCCATTAATACAATTATTCTAAAAGTTTGGTTAAATGAACCAGGTTCAGGTTTTTTTTTAAGAATCCTTATAAAAATATCTGTGATAATTTAGGGTATGGCTGTGTTAGTCAATTTAAAGTTTTTTTTATGAAGTTAAGTTTTTAGCTATTATTATTAATTATTATTTTCACATTTATAAATTGGGTAATTTATTTGTATAGTAAACGTTTAACTCATTTTTAAATCAGACTAGCATTCATTAATGTTGTGATTTTAATTTTTTAATTTTATATTTATTTGTCATTGTGTTTGTTGCTTATTTTTTACTACTGATGTAAAATTATATAGTTTTAATTGTTTATAAATATTCATATTTTAGAGGAGTTAAATTTGATGATTCAAAATCTAGTCATTAATGCTTCATTGCCATTTAATTTAGCGGAGCATGAAGACTTTAAAAAATTGATAACAGTTGGATATAATGGTTGCCATGTATTAACAAGGAAAACATTGATGAAAAATATAACTGTTCAACATGAAAATCTCATACTTACAATGAAAGATGCATTTTCCAAACTCGAATATTTGACCACAACAGCTGATTGTTGGTCTATTTTTAAATGGTGTGGCATTAAAATAATTATGTACATTAATAAATTAATAATATATTAATACATTAATAATATTATAAACTTATATATAAAATGTTATTTTCAGGTCATATTTATGGTTGACATGCCATTGGATTAATCCAAAAACTCTTGAAAGAGTATCTTGTTTGTTGGCCATTAAAAGAATAAAGGGTAGTCATACGTACGATATATTAGCTAAAGAAATGGAATCAGTATATTTGTACTTTAATATTAGTGATAAAGTCATATATACAACTACTGATAACGGATCAAATTTTGTCAAAAGTTTCCAGTAAGTTTTGTTCAGTGTTTTTTACTAAAAATATATTATTTTTATAACCTATGTGGCTATGTTAGCCATTAGGTATTCTAAAACTTATGGTTTTACTAATCTAAATGTTGTATACAAAATTGCAAAAGTAATTTCAGAAATTCTTTTTATAAATGCATACTTAATGGCTAATACCATTTTGACCAGATTGTGTTATTGTGAAATAATTTATAGTAGTGGGAGGCTAGGGTGCTTATGTATGGGATTTTGAGGTCAGAGGGGAGTGTGAGGTTGCTGACGTACCAGGGTGCGTTTGTGAAGAGACGAAGGCAAATTGATTGGAAGGATTGGAATTTTTGGAGGTACCCCGTGGCTTTATTCCGTAAGTCATTCAAGGGCGGAGAATTGGTTTAAAATAGTATATTAGAATTTTTAAATACTTTTTTTACATTTTTTATTTTTTTTTATACTATTGTAGAATTATTTAATTTGTTAATGTCCATCATGTTAACTAAGTAAGTAGTTAACAATTATTATATATTTAATATGATTTTATCATGTAACTTTAACATATTTTTAGTGCAATTTTAACATATGTTTAACGCGATTAAATCCGGTAATTAGTTATAAAATAATGACATATAGTGTACAATTGGATATTGGGGATTGTAATGATTGTATACTAAAATAAAAGTGGGCCAGGGCCCCCTTCAACCATCTACTAGGCCCACTACCGGCCAACTCAGTGGTGTCGAACTCATATATCATGTGAAGCGATTGATTTACTAAATGTAAAGTTCGGCACCACTGGGCCCACCCACTCACTACTCAAAATTTAATATTTTTTCACCAATTTTATTATTAAAACGTTTTTTTATTTATTAATTTTTAAAATTAAAGATGGAAAAAATTAATTCAGCTTAAATTTTTAAAAATATTAATTAATAATAATTGTTTACCAAAATAATTAATAATATTATTTAATATGCAATCATACTGTTGTATATTGTACAAAGGATTATAATATGTATGCCTAATGTTAATATGAACATTTATTTTTTGAAAATCCAAAAGTAAATTGAAACTTTTAAGGTGAATGTTCTAGTTGTAAGTAAAATGATACAAGGGTCAAAATTATTTCCCCACATGATGGAATTTTTTGGCGACATGCTAGATTAAATACACCTTTGTGAAAAAATACATAGCCTCTGTGCTGCACCTGACATTTAAATTTTCAACCGCCACATTTTTAAACAAAATAAAAATCATAAGTAGAAAAATTGAATGCAATTTATAGAATATAATATTATACATTTATACTTGCGCGCGCGCGGGTGTGTGTGTGTGTGTGTGTGTGTGTGTGTGTGTTATAGGTATAGGAATGTAGGTGTGTGTATTGTGTATTAAATGTGTACCTAATTATGTGTGCTACACCTGGAGTCAAATCCTGGAACCACCTATGTAGAATATCGTAGGTTAGGTTAGATTAGGTATAGAAAATTATTCTATTCAATTTTCGAGATTTTTAAATTTTTTTTACAATAAATTATTATGAAAATCATTGTATTCAATATTTATATTTGAAAACGGTAGGTACCCTAACCAGTAACCTATGTTTTCGTTCAATAAATAAACGGACGGTAGTCGCCGTTGTGTAAAGGAAAATTATCCCAGAGAATACTGAGAATTGATAAAATATACAGTTTGACATTTTTATGACAGAGTGTAATTTAATACGTATAATAGTAAATAGAGAGACCAGCAAAAGGTTAAATGACAAAACACGTATTATTAACATTGAAGAATAACGTGCTATATTTAGTTTAAAAGTAAAATTAATTTGAATTAATCCTCGCACTTCGCAAGCCAAAAATGGATTACTATTACTTTAATATCTCTAGATGTAAATAGTATGAGCTAAGAATATCAGCATATAATATAGCATTCCAGGTCATCGAATTTATGCCAACAGGGACCACCATTAATTCGGCATCGTATTGTGAAACGCTTGAAAAATTGCGTAAAGCCATAAAAAACCGACGACCTGGAATGCTAACGAAGGGAGAGCGTCTTTTGCACGATAACGCTCAACCTCACGTGGCACCCAACACAAAAGCGCTTTTGGATAAGTTTGGTTGGGACATTCTCCCGCACCCCCCCTACAGCCCAGACCTTGCCCCATCAGACTATCACTTGTTCATCAACCTAAAGAAGCATTTGGGAGGGAAAAGGCTGAATTCAGACGAAGAAGTGAAGACTGTAGTGATGGAGTACTTGGAAAAAGAAGTGGACGGAGAGTTCTATGACGCTGGCATACAAAAGCTTCCAGATCGACTACAAAAATGTCTCGATATGAACGGTGATTATGTCGAAAAATAGTGTATAAGTAGTATAATATGACCATGTAAACATTTTTTTAATAAAGCACTTTTTTGATTTTTTATATTAATGGCCCTAACAGCACAAAGTCAACCATCAGACTGCCACTATATGTCCTTATAGGGTAGAGGGCAATTTAGAAAAGTAGTCTGTGGGACGTCAGATGGATCCCCTAATGTCCGCGTCCAGGGATTAACCTTCCAGGGATGTACATGGGAAATCCTTTTTTTTCCTTATTTATGTCTAACCATATGCCAACAGGTTACTCATTTACTGCCATTTGATTACCAACAGACCTCCTTTTGGTAACCAATAGACTAACTTTCGGATACTTATAGACTAACAGTTCACCATCTATAATGATTAGTGATTACCAATGAAGTTGAAATTATAATTTATAAATTAATTAATTAATGAATAATTAAATAAATAAATAATTAATAAATTTATATATTATAATCAAATATTATGAATAATAATAAAAATAATTTTAGAACTATATTTAATTATAATTGTATTTGAAATTAAAAATGTGATGATATTTTTTTTAACAATAATATATAATTTAATCAAAAACATTGGAGATACAAATTAAAATTTGTAATTGACATATATGTATACATAATAAATATTAAATTTACAAAAAATGGTAAGTTATTAAAAAAAATAATTATAATTCCAGTTACAAAATAATATCATATTAATGTGAGATCTATATTAACTTGTAATATTTACACATTTGTGTTTTGTTAATACATTTAAATATTTACATAAATACTATATTTAAATAGTAACACACTTTCAAATTAGCAATAGACATTATAAATATTTAATAGTTATAGTAGAATATAAAATAAACTCAAAATATAATAACAAAAATTTTTAAATTTTTAAAATTATATTATTTTATAAATATTAAATAACTATAAATGGTATAATAGTAATAATAACAATATAAATAACTATATTATATTAATAAATATATTTGGTACTACATTTGAATATTTACATTGTTATGATTATCATAGTTATTGATAATATTATAACCTCAAATGTTATATGTATTAATGATATTGTTTTAATAAAGTTTAGTCCTTATTCTGCAACGCTAGTGTTCACATGTTCTTATAATGTATTAAGTAATACACAACATTGGCGACGAAGATGATGAAAACCACGTGCGTGTGGTCAATAAGTTAAAGTGTTAAACCAGTTACAGTTAAAGTAACAATGTTAGGGCAAGTAGAATCGTATATGCCTGGTGATGATTTTTGTGAATACGCGGAACGTTTAGAACAATATTTTGTTTTAAATGATGTTAAAGTGGATAAAAAAGTTGCATTTTTGTTAACATTCATCGGTCAAGAAACGTATTCAATATTGAAAAAACTATTATTTCCGGGTGATCCAGTAAAGAAAACGTTCGAGCAGCTGATAGCAGTTTTGAAGAGTCATTTTACTCCTGAAGTAAATGAAATATCTGAACGTTATAAGTTTTTCAAGGAAGATCAGAAGTCGGGTCAACCGATGTCAGAATATATAGTAGAATTAAAAGCAAAAGCGCAAAAATGTAAGTTCGAAACCTTTTTGAATAAAGCGTTACGCGATCGTTTAGTATTTGGAGTATGTGATAATAAATTACGTGCCATACTGTTGAAAGAGTCAACATTGACGTTTGAATCAGCTTGTACCATAGCTATAAACTGGGAATTATCTGAAAAAGATGTAAAAGGTCAGAGTATGAATCAGTTTACAGTGCGACCAAAAAGCAGTAATTTTCATACAAACCGGTCAAAAAGTGTCGATAAAAGGGACGGCAAATGTACTAGATGTGGTGGATCACATTTTAGTAAGGAAGAGTGTCCAGTTAGAAATTGGAAGTGCAGAAATTGTGACAAAGTATTGCATATTGCAAAGTATTGTTTCTACAGTAAAATGAATCAGAGCAAGTCCAGAGCCAGGAGTTCAAGTCGAAGCAAATTTAGTAAACAGAAGTATCGAAGTAGTGATTCGGTACCATCAGAAAAAAACAATGTACATGAGTTATCAGAAGAATTGGATCAGATGCAGTGTTATGTGGAGTCAAAAATGGAAGACAGAATAAATTCAGTGCACAAGTCAGGCAGTCCATTGCTAGTCACGGTGATAGTTCAGGATAATGAAGTAGAAATGGAAGTGGATTCGGGCGCATGTGCATCATTAATAAGTGAAGATATGTATTTAAAAATGTTTTCTTTTGTACCATTAATTGATGTTGTAGTTAAATTTGTATCAGTTACAGGAGAAAATGTTAAGTTATCGGGAAAACTGTTGGTTAACGTGAGGCTGCCCGTTGACATTGAAAGCAAAACTGTTCGTTTAGAATTATTTGTCATAAAAATTAAAAAACCGTGTGTACCACTCTTGGGTCGAGCTTGGTTGGATAGACTATACCCAAGTTGGAGAAATGTTCTTCAGTTAAATCAAGTCTCAAAAAGTAGTAATATTTTGGATACATTAGCTGTTAAATACCCAAATATCATTCCTAAGTCATCAAATCAGGTAATAAAAAATTATAAAGCTGAAATAGTGTTAAAGGATAATGTTAAACCAATTTTCCATAAAGCTTATACAGTACCATTTAAATTGAGAGAAAAGGTAAATGTAGAAATTGATAGATTAGTGAATGAAGGTATTTTGGAACCAGTTAAATTCAGTGAATGGGCTAGTCCTATAGTAATTGTACCTAAAAGTAATGGAAGTATAAGAATATGTGTGGATTGTAAGGTGACGATTAATAAATTTATACAAACACAGCATTACCCTTTACCTAATATTGAGGATTTGTTTGCAAGTATGGCAAGTTGTGCAGTTTTTTGTGTGTTAGATTTGTCTGGAGCTTATCAACAATTAGAGTTAGCTTCAAGTTCTAAAGAATATTTGACAATAAATACTTTAAAAGGTTTATTTAGATTTACAAGATTAACATTCGGTGTAGCTAGTGCACCAGCTATATTTCAGTCTACCATGGATCAGATATTGTTGGGCTTGGAAAATGTGTTTTGTTATTTAGATGATATATTAATAGGTGAAAAAACAGTTGAAAAGTGTAAACAAAAGTTAGATTTGGTTTTAGATAGATTAAATAATTTAAATGTTTCTATGTAAGTTTTTTGAAAGGGAAGTTGATTATTTAGGACATACGTTGTCAGATAAAGGTATTCGTCCACAAATAAAGAAATTGGAAGCTATTAGAGAGGCTAGGGCACCAAATAATGTGACCGAATTGCAATTTGCAAGCTTATTTAGGATTATTAAATTATTATGGAAAATGTATTCCTAATATCAGTAGTGAATTACATGATTTATATAAGCTACTAAGGAAAGATGTTAAATTTATGTGGAGCGATAAGTGTCAGGAAGTTTTTGAAAAGAGTAAAACTTTGTTGTTACAAAATCAAGTATTAGAAATTTATGATCAAAAAAAGCCAATAGTAGTATGTGCAGATGGTTCACCATATGGTGTTGGAGCAATTTTATCTCAAGTAGTAGATGGAGTAGAAAAACCAGTATTATTTGCATCAAGTTCATTATCTCCAGCAGAACAAAAATATTCTCAGTTACACAGAGAAGCGTTGGCAATAGTGTTTGCATTAAAAAAATTTCATAAATATATATATGGTAACAAATTCACATTATGTTCAGATGCTCAAGCGTTAAGAGAAATATTTAGTCCACAGAAAGGTACAGCAGTGGTTGCAGCGTCCAGGTTACAGAGATGGGCTGTGTTGTTATCTATGTATGAGTATGAATTTCAGTATAGACCAAGTAAACAAATGGTTCATGTTGATGCTTTAAGTATATTACCATTAAATACAGGTACTGATATAGAATATGATGTTATTAGTAGATTATGTATAACAAATAAATTTAGGTTAAGTACTGCAGATGTAGTAGAAGCGTTAAAAAAAGATAAAATAGTATTTAAAGTTTATAACTATGTATTACGAGGATGGCCTAGAAAAGTAGAAAGTGAGATTGAGTATTATTTTAAGTTAAAAGATAATTTAAGTACACAGGATGATTGCTTATTTTTTGGGGATAGGATTGTAGTTCCAGAGGTATTAAAAAAGAACATTTTGAAGATACTGCATAAAGATCATGAGGGTATAGTAAGAATGAAAATGGCAGCAAGAAGTGTATTATGGTGGAAAAATATGAATACAGATATAGAAAAATTTAGTAAAGGATGTGAAATATGTGATCAGACTTCTAATGTGAGTAAAGAGAAAGTTATATCAAAGTGGCCTATGGTAGTTAAGCCGTGGGAAAGAGTGCATGTTGATTTCTTTCATTTGGAAGGCAATACGTTTTTGGTTGTGATTGACGCATATAGCAAATATATAGTAGTGAAACTGTTAAAAAAAACAAATTGTGAATCGTTAATCAGGGTGTTGCAGGAAGTGTTTGAGTTTTTTGGGTTACCTGAAGAGATAGTATCAGACAATAGTCCTCCTTTTCGTTCATGGTTATTTAACAGCTATGGAAATCAAAGTAATATTAAAATAACAAAAACACCTCCATTTCATAGTCAGTCCAATGGCTTGGCTGAGAGAGCGGTTCAAACTGTTAAAAAGTATATCTTAGATAGAGAGTTAAGTAAATTGACTGTTAAGGAAAAAGTAGTAAGGTTCATTACAGTATATAATACTACGCCTTCAACAGTTACAGCACAGTCACCAGCTGATCGTATGTTTTCTTATAAGTTAAGGTCTATAATGTCATCAATAAATCCAAAAAGTAAAGTTACAGTAAAAGAAAAAAATTAATTAAGTTTTAATCTTAAAAATAATAAGTATTATGAGGATGCGAACAGTGAAAATTATTTTAAAAAAAATGAGAAAGTATTATATTTTAAAGATTATTGTAAATGGTTACCAGCTACAGTAGTTAAACAGTATACCAAATATTTATTTGTAATTGACTTAAATAAGAGTACTAGAATAGTTCATAAGAACCAGTTAAGGTATCCTAGAAATATTGATAAGGATCATAGTTATTATACATTACCAAAAAGTAATGAGTTACATACAGAAAGTAAAGAGAGTGTAGTTGTGCGTCGTTCGGAGAGAGACAGGAAGGCTACAAAAAGATATGGTTTTGATAATTAACTATTGCTATGTTTTTATAATTATTTTGTATATTACTTATTTTTGTTAATATTAAGTTGTGCTATTTACTATTAAATAAACTATTATTTTTTATTGTTTAATTAAAAAAAAATAATATATTTGTATTTAAAAAGAGGATGATGTTATGATTATCATAGTTATTGATAATATTATAACCTCAAATGTTATATGTATTAATGATATTGTTTTAATAAAGTTTAGTCCTTATTCTGCAACGCTAGTGTTCAAATGTTCTTATAATGTATTAAGTAATACAAAACATACATGTGTACGGTATATACACAGAGCATATACTTATTGATCACAATACTAGTATGTATAATACTATAAGTCACTATAATACATATATATATATATATGTACAATTATTTAAGTTATACATTATTTTATAATAATTAGTCTTTTCAATAATGTTTTAGATTTATTAATAAGGTCATTTTCAGACCTGGCGTTTATACTCGTTTCTATACATAATATATATAAGTCACTATAATACACATTATATATATACAATTATTTAAGTTATACATTATTTTATAATAATTAGTCTTTTCAATAATGTTTTAGATTAGTTAATCATTTTAGAATATAAGTTTATTTAGAATAGTTTTAGATTTATTAATAAGGCCATTTTCAGACCTGGCGTTTATACTCATTTCTATACCTGTCAATGGCATGCTTAAACCACGACATTATAATATGTCTGATTATGTCCCTGTTTGTCGTTCCTTGGGGACAACTGCTTCTTACTGCATCTGAAATTTTTTTATAATGGCCTGAGTCAATGTTTACATAAGCTCCACAATTTATAATAGTTATATTGAAGAACATGTTTAATATAAATCATTTACTTTTAAATAAATGTATTTAATTACATTTTTCCTAATACTCTAAGATTATTTACCTAAAATTATATCATGCATTTGATAGTTTTTTAATGCCTTTTTCTCTTTGCTCATTCCTGCATATGTTATTACTGTGGCCAATTTGTTAAAAAATATGTATTTCATGGCATTGTATGTTTTTGAACGAATATCGTCACTTCCAATTATAGACAGTTCATTCATCTATAACATAACATTAATTTTAAAGTAGATAACCATTAGTGTTTTGACTAAATTAGTGAACAAATTCAAGTTTTACTAACCAACTGGTTTTTAAATGCTGCATTTTCTAGTATCATTGTATCTACATAATCGAGTTTTGTTTCATCTTTCAACGGAAAGTATGATCTAATATTAATATTTGTATCACCTGATGAGGATGTAATAGGAGCAAGACATCGATTAAGTTTGTCGTGCATTTGTTTCATTACAATAAGCATTTGATTGATCTTAATTTTCATGTGGCAGCTATTTTCCACCAAAACCTTTAAATCTTTTTGTTGAACCGTAACAAGATTTGATAAATTGTTCATGTCACCATTTTCTAAAATTATTTTTCAAATATTTTATTATACCTAATAGATTACAAACAAAACAAAATATTGATTTACCATTTCTGACTATATTCTCAAAACTTTGCTCCATATTTTGTTGTGATTGTTCAGAAGACAAAAAAACAACAGGTGTATTCTCTAAAACCATAAAACAATTACTTATACTATGTGAAAAATATATAATAATATGATTTACTTACCATCTATTCGATTGCTTTCTGACCGAGCAGAGCTTAGAAACACTTCACCATTTATATTTTCAAGAAAGGTATCTGTAATATGTGTTATTATAATCAAAATTTTTAAGTACATACTGGAGTACAAGTATTTTAATATTAAAATAGGATTCTTCAACTAAATCAGGGCTTTTCTGAAGTATGTCTAAATTACCTTTGTAGCTAAAATTATTTTCTCCTAAAAATTTTTAAATATGTTAAACAATATTATAAGAATTATATTACTAAAATTCTAAATTACCGCATTTTAACTGTTTTGATCTAAACCCACTGTTATTGCTGATATGTTTTGCTAAAAATATTATATTACCAAATTACAGAAGATTAATAAAATATTGTATAATATTTCATGCAAAGAAAAAAGTTACAAAGTTTTAATTGAGGAGGTGCACATGGAGTTTGTAGACTTGTTGTTATTTTTTGAGTTTCAAAAGTTGAATCATCAGAATCCGAGTTTATTTTAGCAGCTTTTATTTTTCGGAATTTTTTCGCTTTATCTGCATCATCACTTTCTAAATCTGTTTTGTACTCTGCCTCCCTAAATTTACGCTTAGCTTTCAAAAAATCATCTGAAATTTAATCAAATCATTAATATATGAATAAATATTGTAGAAGTTCTTCAGCATAATTTAAATGAGAATCAAGTGAACTAAAATAAGAAGAACATAGTATTGTTGTCGCTATATGGAGATATAAGAAATTATTATAAACTTCAGAAGACAACACTTTTTTAAGTACACCTATTCCTGTGTAAATCAATATTTGTCGAAATTCTGTTGCTTTAAAATCACTTATATATCGGAGACTTCGAGGTTTTCTTTGAAACTCTAATGGAATAAAAGTTCTTATACTAATCAAAGAATCTGAATTTGTACATATTTTCCTAAATTGTAGCCGGACTTGAAGCTTGTCTGCAGTCCATAGATGAAACAGTTTTTTCATAACTCCAATACAAATTAAGTGTAAATAATCTAAGGGTACATTAGTAACTAGACCTAGCTTTGGTATATCTTCTAAAGCACTTGATCCTGAATGAAATGATTGATCTAGTTTTGTTTCATAATCACTGTCCATTCTTTTTACTCCGGGTATATCAGAAAAACAAACTCTTCTTTGTACATAGGTACCGTATGTAGTGCACTTTGTACAACTAGCATAACCAGAATGACCTTTTGTGTTTAAAATGAATGATTTTGCTGGAGCGTCTGCTGATATTACTTTTAACACACAATCATATTTAATTTTTTCATAAATAATGCCATTTTCAATAATACATTTTGCTTCAGAAATAAAATTTTAAAGATACTGAAAACTATCAGCCGGTTTGCTATGACCATGATAAATCCCTATAATAAATACATCATTAAATCCAAGCACTGAACCAAGTATTGGCCATAGCTGGCTTTGGGGTGACCTGGCAATTGGTAAACCATCTACATTTAATACAAGCTCAATTAATCGATTATGATGAGCACTATAATAATTAAAATGTTTTTTCAAAAAATGTTCAAGGCTTAATTTTAAACCATAGTGCCAATATTCTCCTGGAACAACTTTTTTAATAATTGTATTTTTTGGAGTACTAAGAATAGTTCTGGCATCACTTGGAATAAAATTCATATTTGGATGTTTTTTTAAAATTTTCAATAATTTACTTAAAGATGATTGAGTTATATTATTATCAACAGCCCAAAAAGCTAATTCATTTAATAATATGTTTCTTGCACTTATATATGGAGTCATCAGTGGAACTTCATTTTCAACAAAAATATTTGGCAAAGTTATATTATTAACTGCATAACAATTATCATTTTCTACAGATAAACTACTATCCTCGTTAATATCTGAACATAAATTAGGAGAATGAGAATTAAAATGATCTAATTGTATATTACAAGAAATTTCAGAATTTGTGTTTTTGATTACTGTACTAACACTACTTTGAACATTGTGTTCCAAAAGATTTAAATTGTTTTGATTAACTCTATTGACTTCTTGTTGAATACGTCGACGGAGTTGCCTCTTAGATAAATCGTTTAAACTTTTATGCTTACGAAAATTTGTCCTACAAGGGAAACTGTAAGTTAACTTAAAAGACTAAGGGCCGTTCTTACAATGTCCGGTAAAGTGTCGGTTAACGTAAACCGACTGATAACAGATTTTATCACCGGCAGAATTCGGCCGGTTAACTGTTAAGTGTCGGTTAACTTTAACCAACACTTTACCGTATATTGTAAAAACCAGCCTAAATACTGTAGATATATTATATGAATTACTTTAGTAAATAGGTAAGTTTGGTGTTAAAATACACCATTTTGTGTGTAAACACAAATTTTATTGAATAACAAAAAGTCAACTTACCCGTTGTCCATGTTGGAAATTGAAACAAAATAAACGTGCTTGCTAACCTAACGTAATAGAGATGGCCAATGAATGAATAGGTACCGCGTATTTTCAGTTTTGCACATACATTAATTCGACATTCGCGATATTGTGAATTGTGATGGTTGACTAAAACTATTGGCGATTGAAAGCTTATCATTTATCAGGCTGGCGGTTGGTGGATCTGTTACATCTTATCAATATCAATCGCCAATTATACTATGATAGATAGACGATGGTTATTGTGTACTAGAATCACGGACGTATATACAGGTTTGGGCACGAGTCGTTATCAGTGGAAAATTAGTGTCACGCTCGTGACCACAGGAATACACATTGCGCCATCTATTTGTGTTATATTTAATTGCGAAATTATTTAATTATTTTTATTTTTATTTTCATTTTTAATACTGAAATGGATGTATACCACAGACGTCCGTTACGTATATTTAAAATACTTATGAAAATTTTCGTTTTAAAGTATTAAATTTACTATCAAATACTAACGTCGTTTATAGTATTTACTCCTACGCACACACATATACATTACATATGTACTTTGTACGTCCCTGTTATTACTA